AGGCGCAAACGTGCGTTTGAAATTGTTTATGGTAACTGAGATAAGTCCTTTGTCTCTCTACCCAGATACATGGCCGCATTGCAATACTTTAAACCTAAGACTGTTGTTGAATGGAAGCTTGCGTGGAGTTCGGGAATACCATAACATATATTCAGATATATGTTCTGGGAATTTAAACCAGCCATTGATGGTTTTGTGCATTGTCGGCCGGTAATATCCATAGACGTCACTCATGTTTATGGAAAATATGATATTAAGCTGTTGATCGTTGTTGCAGTAGATGCTAATGGAAGTATATTTCCCCTAGAATTTGCTATTTGTGCCAATAAAAGTCAAGAGACGTGGAAATTATTTTTGAACAACTTGAACGAGCACGTTGTCAGACAGCGTTCAGGTATTTGTATAATATATGATCGGTATAGCGATATTTTAAGTTCTATACAGAATTTGCGTGCATGGCAGGAACCGTATGCCTACCACCGTTACTATGTTAGGCACTTGAAGGCCATCTTTCAGAGGTCTTATCCGAACAAGGACTTGCATGATTTAATGTGGATGGCTGCAATAGATCACCAAGAGTGTAAATTCACAAGGTGAATGGAATTGATCAGGCAGGAAGACCATAGAGCCTATAGTTGGTTGATGCGACATGAGCATGACAAGGAGACTTTGCATGTGAATGGGGGTAGAAGATGGGTAATTCTGACTACAAATGTGTCAAAGTCTTTCAACAGGTTATTGAAGTCTGCACGTGGATTGTCTGTCACTGCCGTGGTGCGGATGTCATTCAAGCAGATGGCGGAGAGGTTTGTTGAAAGATCGAGAGATGCATCGTCGTTGATGGAAATGGGTGTTGAATTTATGCCAATACCAATGAAAAGATTTGAGAAATATAGGAAACGAGCACAGTGGCATTCATTTTTGTCACGACCCAAAATTCTAACATGTCGTGATGGCGTCTATCTCGATACTAGGCAAGTCGACAATCTCAATAAACCACAATTTCTTTTAAGTTTGAAAATATAATATTTAAACACAATCCACAAATCTCGCAAATACCAATACAAACACTCCAAAAATCCGGTGTCACTGAGTACATGAGCATCTAATATGAATACAAGTTTGGAAAATACGGTCCATAATAGTCTAAGACAAATATAGTAAATAAGGAGATATGGAATGAGAGGCAAGGTCTGTGAAACACGACAACTACCTCAGAATTTCTGGAAAATCAACTGTGTAAAAGAATCAACACCCGCTATATCCGAAAATACCTGGATTTGCACACGAAGTGCAGGGTGTAGTATGAGTATATCCAACTCAGCAAGTAACAATAGTAAATAAGGAACTGAAGATAGTAACGAGCTACATAGTTACAGTTCATTTTCAGTAATTCCAGTAGAGAGAAGACATGTTATCAATTCCAACAGTTTAAGTCAAATTAGTTTATACAGTTCAAGTTCATGTAATCTGGATATAAAATCATTCAGATAATTTTACAACAATGACAGATAGCAACTAAGTGCAATAATAAATGAAAAGCAAGTACAGCCTCTAAAGGCAACAGTTACTCAACTCGTCATAACAGCTCAACCACTCGGCTCTCATCCCTCATCACTCACACTCAATGGGTACTCGCGCTCACTAGAGTGTACATACTCCGGAGGGGCTCCTACAGCCCAAGCGTTATAATCTGCACGGACAACTCATGTGCCATAGTATAAATATCTGGATCCGCACGGACAACTCACGTGCTATAGTGTAATAAAAGGATCCACACAGATAACTCACGTGCTATAGTATAATATCTCACAATCAGGCCCTCGGCCTCACTCAGTCATAAATCTCTCTAGTCTCTCGGGCTCTCAATAGTCATGATACTCAGCCCAAATAATAATAATATGATGCATCAATAATGAACAATAGAGACTGAGATAAAATAAACAAGTAAACTGTGACTGAGTACAAAATAACAAGTTAGCAGATAATTCAATATGTACAAGACCTCTGTGGACTTTACAGCACCAACACATAGCCTAAGCATGCTTCACTGTCAAATTTTTATAGCACAGAAAGGGCACATAGTTAACGATAAGCTTATTCAACTTTCCAGTTTCACGGAATGGACCAAGTCCCAATTCCCACGGTGCACGCCCACACGCCCATCACCTAGCATGCGTGTCACCTCCAAAATACTCACATAATACAATAATCTAGGATTTCATACCCTCAGGACTAGATTTAAAAATTGTTACTTACCTCAAACCGTGAAATTCTTATTCCGATAAGCCTTTGCCTAATGAATTGGCCTCCAAACGCTTCGAATCTAGCCAGAAATAATTTGATTCAGTCAATAAAATTTATTAGAATTAATTCCATAAGAAAATGCAAAATTTTCATAAAAATCCGAAATTTAACTCAAAAATCGCTTGTGGGGCACACGTCTCGGAATCTAACGAAACTCACAAAAACCGACAATTCATTCAATTACGAGTCCACCCATACCAATTTTATCAAATTCCGGTAACAACTCGACCTCAAATCTAAAATTTTCGTTCTTGAAAAGTTTTGCAAAAATCTTGATTTCTTCCATTTAAATCTGAAATAAATGATGAATATAACCATGGATTTATGACACTTACCCAAGTTGAAGTCGTGAAAAATCCCTTTGGAATCACCCAAATCCGAGGCTCAAAACTAAAAAATGAGTTTAAATGGCTAAATCCCATTTTTAAGCATTATGCCCATGCAAGTCACATGTGTGAAATGCGACTTTGCCTGATTTTCGGACAAATATAAGCTGCTACCAGTATTCATTCAGTTGACGATAACTTTCTGTACAATTATCCAAATGACGAATGGTTTAACTTTATGGAAATTAGAATCAAAGGGTTACAACTTTTATGTTTTTATAATTTTCAGATTTCTTATATATTTCGAGACATAAGCTTCCAAAGTCGGCTCCATGCATCAGAAATTTCTGGCAAAACTACTTTACCAACCTTCATTCAGTCGACCATAACTTTCTGTACTTATGTCCAAATGATGAATGGTTTAACTTTCTGGAAACTAGAATCAAATGACTACAACTTTCATGTTTTGAAACAATTCATATTCCTTATAGATTTTGAGATATAAGCTTTCAAAATTGGCTCTGTGATTGCACCAGTTGCTGTCCAAAAACAGCTTCTGCAGCAGAAAAATTCCAGCAGCTCCTTTTGTCTGAAATTCATTCCGTTAACCTTTCGAAATCCACCCTCGGCCCTCGGGACCTTAATCAAATATACCAACATATCCCAAAATACAATACGAACTTAGTTGAGGCTTCAAACCATGCCAAACAATGCAGAAATTACGAATCGCGCATCGAATCGAGTTATGAGTTTTTAAATCTTTCAACTTCTATATTTTGCGCCGAAACGTATCAAATCAATTCCGATTGATCTCAAATTTTGTACACAAGTCATAAATAACATAACAGATCTATGAAAATTTTCAGAACTGAATTCCGACTCCGATATCAAAAAATCAACTCCCCGGTTAAACTTCCCAAAAATTCAACTTTCGCCATTTCAAGCCTAATTCCTCTACCGACCTCCAAATAATTTTCCTGATACGCTCCTATGTCCAAAATTACCATACAGAGCTATTAAAATTATCAAAAATCTATTCCGGGGTCGTTTACACATAAGTCAACATCCTATCAACTATTTCAACTTAAGCTTCCAACATGAAATTCATTCTTCCAAGCTAACTCCGAAATACCTTAAAACCAAAACCGATAATTCACACAAGTCATAATACCTCGTAGGAAGTTATTCAATACTTCAAATAGTTGAAAGGGGCGTAAATGCTCAAAATGACCGGTCGGGTCGTTAAAATTTTTGCAGTATTGCAACGAGCAAAATATTTTTGAAGATCGCACTGCTATTCATCACAACTGGGGGAATACTACACACACCGCCAATGAAGCCAGAAGGTTATGCTCCTGTGAAAAATGGTCCATCTATCACATGCCGTGCTCACATGCCCTGAAGTGCTTTCAACATACAGGTTTCGCGACAACTAGGTACGTTGATAAAGAATATAGAGTTGCTGCATACTTAAACACCTACAGTGGACAGTTGCAGCCAGTGGGTGCTGAGCATTATTGGCTGCCGAAACCATTTAAAATGGTGTGTAACAAGGAGTATTTGCGTCAACGACAAGTGCAAAAAATAACGCGTATACGGAACCAAATGGATGTTGGTGATAATGTTTTAGTATATGAAATATATATTACTAATATTCGTGTTAGCTAAAAAAATTTAATGGTCTTACCATGGTCTCGGCGGGCTCCTGAATATAATCATCCGTCTCAGGCGTGCCGGTATCGTACAAAGTGGCCTCCGTGACGGGCGAGGATGATGTCTTTTAAAAAAAATAAAAACGCTTTAGATATTGATGACTAATCAATGAGATAAAAATAAATATAAATAATAGTAATACAAACAAACATGCGCCTGTGAAAGATCCTCAGCATCCCTTAACGGATATACTATAGCGCGGTACATATGTGCGCTATACCTTCCCGTCCATTTAAGTTCAAATAAAGCGAGGTTATTAACCGCGCTATACCTTAACGGATAAACGTGCCGTTAAGGTATAACGTAATAAATAACCACACTATACATATTATGGTGCCTTTTTTTTATATGTTATGATTGTTTGAGTCCAAAAGAACCATACTTTGGTTCTGGAATCGTCATCAAAGGCCCAACCACAAATGGAAGAGCAAAGACAACACGTGTTTGTCTTTCAAGGTTGAAAGACACCTCACAATTAACCATAAAGCAGCTTTTATTTACTATAAAGTACCCTTGGTCGTACCAAAGGCTTTCACTTATTATATAGGTAAGGTCTAGTTTAGACCAATCTCAAAACAAAAGGGACTATTCTTGTAATTTTCTCCAAATAGGTGGCATAAACTGAAGTTTAGCAAATAAGTTGAAGTCAATTTGGCACCATTTGTCTTCTGCAGCATTCATAACCTATAGCTCAAACCCTAACCATTCAACTTTATCATATCACTCCAGCGAACGACGATGTCTCACTTCGGCAGAACAGGCCCTCCGGACATCAAAGATACCTTCTCTCTTCTCGTTCTCAACGTTACTTTCCGTAATTACCCCTTTCTCTTTCTCTATATTTACCAATTAGCAAATTTATTTTTCTTTTGTTGCAAAGTTGTTGAATTTGATACTCCTTACTCAATTGCTGTTACTGTTTGCTTGTACAGGTACCACCGCTGATGACTTGTTTCCTTTATTCGATAAGTATGGAAAAGTCGTCGATGTCTTTATCCCTAGAGACCGAAGGTTCTTACTTTTTCTATTTAACCTTTTTCTTGTAATATGTACTGTTTTCTTTGGGTCACCGAGTAAACTTTTGTTATGGGTTGTTGTCTTTTTTTATCACCGTTTTGCTTCCATCCTATTTGGTTATATCATAATAGTCTCAATTAATATGACCCACCTTTTATTTTAGGACGATCTAAAATGTCTGACATCATTAAACTAATAATATCATCCTATACTTTTTTGCAACTTTGATGAGTTCAAATTCATTTGCTTTGCCACTTGAGAATTTAAATTCATTATATATTTTGATTTTGCACCGGGTGTCCGAGTCTCTTTGAGCCCCGATTAATCCCGGGGGTGCACAGGCCCTCGGCAAGGAGTTTCCCGCAATTGTGCACCCTCGGCAAGGAGTTTCCCGCAAGTGCACCACGGTTAATTCAGGTTTTACCCAGTCCGATGGCCCTCAGAAATTGTTTGCACCCAGTGGGTTTCGAACTTGAGACCTTGAAAGGGAGCAAACCCCAAGGCTCAAGTCAATTGCCACCAGGCCAACCCCTGAGGGTTTTCATTATATATATTCTATGTCAAACGAACTTTTCAAACATTATCCTGAAATTCTATTTTACTACCATTAATATAATACATAAGTCAAATTAATATTTTAAACTCTGTTATTTGTTTGGTGCTTTAGGACTGGAGATTCTAGGGGTTTTGCATTTGTACGCTACAAGTATCAGGATGAGGCTCAAAAGGCAGTGGAAAAGCTTGATGGTAAATGAAGTGATTTCTAACATTTAAATTAAGTTATTAGTCCTCCAATATTTTTCTGAATATTACAATTTGGGTGGTAGCCTTATATTGCTGTTAATCACACTATTATTTGGCCACAGGAAGAGTTGTAGATGGTCGAGAAATAATGGTTCAATTTGCAAAGTACGGCCCAAATGCTGAGAGAATGTAAGTTTTATTTGATGCAAATATTTATTAAGTTGTGAGCTTGCGTTGTTGAAAGTTGTGATTTTCACTCTTGTATATTTAGGTGCATTTTTTATCCTATAAATTGGGCTGTAATAACCATTTGCTTGTGACAATAAAACTATGTCTAATGGAGGCTAGGATTGTTTTTATGATCAGTGACAAAGGTAGAATTTTGGAGCCTGTACAAAATACAAGAGGAAGGTCAAGAAGCCACAGTCCTAGATCAAGGTAAGAGCTTATTTACTTAGTTCTTCCACTTAAAGCCCTGTTGTGAACATCGAGATTCCCATTGGAATATAATTGTTTGTGTTAATGTGATCCTAATCATTGAGCTCTGTTGATTAGTCATACAAATGTTGGGAATATTTCCTATAGGAAATTTCGTTGGAGTTTGTGATCATGTGTTCTTTCTACCTAAGGAGCAATGTTTTTAAAAGCGAAAAGCGAAAAGGAAGTGACAAGGTCCATGGTACTTGCAGCGAAAATCCAGAAGTGAAGCACAGAATTTATGTATTTATTTTTCGTTGATGCACGACGTTTATGGAAAAGCAGAAAATGGCATATATGAATTTAGTGTAGTAAAAATCAAATTACAATCATTGTTACCTTTCTCGAAAAAAATAAATCAAATTACAATTAAAATAACTAATTTCACCATCAAATATGCAATATTTCCAAAATTAATCCAACTCCTCCAAGTTGAGATTCATAAAATGCTTGCTTTTCTTTTAGATCACTTTGCGCGTCATTATTTGAAGCGCACACTTCTCTCGAGCACACGGCTTCCTTGAAGCGATAACCCTTTGCTTGTCAATGCGATGAAGCAATGACTTTTAATAACAATGGTCAAGAGAAAAAATCTTAAAGGTTCTCAACGAACACTAAACAGGTTAACACTGTCTTTTGTTGGGGGTGAGAAGAGAGCTGGTGAGCGAAGGGGAGACAAAAGGAGTAGAGTTTTCCCTTATCTGGTAAATAAGTATAAGACTAGTGGATGTTATAGTAGATGGTTTGATAGCCATCCAGTCTTTTTTTCTCTTTGTTTCAACTCTTTCAAAATTGGACTGAAATAAGGAAGGTTTATCTATTTTTTTACTTAATTTCTGCGAGTGCTAATCAACTAGGGGTAGAATATAAAATATCTCTAGCCATATAGAAATGAACAATCAAGGTCCTCTTTCTTGGGCCTACCCTCCTCTTTGTGGAATTAAATATAGTTTAAGGCATTCAGAGATTTAGATTTATTTTTCCCAATTGCATAACATTATACTGTTGGCAAAAATTTCATATGCTCAGATTTACAAATTTTGGTTTCCAACTGATTTTGACGTCAAGAGAGTTATCAGAATTTTTCTTCGTGTAACTAGAATGTTGAGGTTTAGAACGATCCTTTAGAATCATGCTGCAGGATTTACTAGTTGAAAATTCTACTGCCTGCTTGAGAGATGCTATTTTGGGTCTCATGACCGTTTGCAATCAAAACATGTGAAAAATGCTGTTGAATTGGTTTTCTTGAAATTCCCTGTCCTTTCCAGCCTTAATGAAATGTAGATGATCTGGAGTAGGGAAATGGAAGGGAAATGGTGATGTTTAGCCCTAAGTTGCTCTGACACGGGTGCGGGTGTCCGACACGGGTGCGGATCTAGAGGTCGGATCCTTTGAGATGGAAATTTTTAGATTCGGGGATACGAATCCTAGAACCGACACGAGTGCGGGGATCCGGCTAAAAATAATTCAAAAATAAAAATATCTCTACATTATGAGAAATTTTATGGAATACTTACCTATAACTTGTAAAGTGTGGATTTTTATTCTCAAGTTGTAGGCGCGATTTCTTGATTTTCTTCCATTCTCATATTCTCCTACAAGTTACACAAAGTATATTAAAACATAATAAATATCATATAATTACATAAGTAAAAGAGTTGGATATATAATGATAAAGAAAACTGAAAACATACCTTTTAGGCTTTTACTGTTTTTGTCGAAGAACATGACCTTGACAAGAACATAGAGAATAAAAGATGTAAATATCATTTAGCAATTAGCATTTCTCTGACAAGTCACAAATTATGAAGAGTTAGCCATTCTCATTAAGTCAATCAAAATAAGTATGAACACCAAAAAGGCAAAAATAAACTACAAGTCTACAATTGCAATCACCATTCGAGCATTCCCATATAAAGTTACATTAACATTGAACTATATAAACTAACAAAAAGTAGGAGAGGATAACTACTAAGTTTTAACAATTGAACAATAACATTTAGCATTCTTCCTCAATATTTTCAAGATCAATTTCTTGCACATCTTCAATCTCCTCTTCAAATATGACTCCTTCTAGTTGAGGTTCATCGATTGATAAGTCAAGTAGATCATTGGTGGCTTCATCAACATCAAAACGATCTCCACCTAAAGCACAATTAAAATAAAAATGATTTAAAAAATAAAAAAAATACTAAAGGAAATATAAATTCAAGAAAACATAAACTATAGACATACCCACATCCCAATACTTGCTCTTGGGCCACTTGTATATGTTTCTTTTTGACGAGAAAGCAAGCGAAGATTGTAGTGCACAAAAACTAGATCTTCGGCTCTAAAAGTCTCTAACTTGTTTCTTTTGATACTATGGATCAACGAATAGGTGCTCCAATTCCTTTCGCAACAAGAAGAAGAAGCCGGTTGTGAAAGCAATTTGTACGCCAAGCTTTGCAAAAGTGGAGCGTTTACAGCATGGTTAGCCCACCAAGATAGAGGCTCCTCATACATCATAGCCTCAACCACATGAGGCTCATTAAAGAAACCACTACCACTTGCGAATGCTCCATACTCTAAAGACGCTTGTTTTAGATCATTTGAATCTTTAAAGTATCTTTGAAAGCATTTAACTCTATTTAAGGAGATCTCTCTATCCTCATTTGGAGCAAGCCTTCGAACCCCATTGCCTTCCCCTTTAAGCCATGATTCATGGTAGTATTTTGGTACCTAAGAATGTGCCATACAATGTAAAGGGGTGTTGCTCTTATTCCACCTAACAACAAGAATTTCTTGAATTGTATAAAAAAAGTCTGATTGCCCGACAATAAGATCCTTTCCCTCTTGTTCAAAGATAATTGCTTTCACCTTTTCGATCATTGTATCCCACATATCATAAACAAGATTCAACTTTGGAGCATCAAGATCGGCACTTCTAAGCATAGACACAATTGGTTCGGTAAACTTTAAAAAGTACTCAATCTTATCCCACCATTCGTCATTCATTACAAGGGATTTAATTTCACGCGTTTTAGCTTAAATCACTTTATCTCCCTTATAGTTTCTCCAATCATCATCCATTACCATTCTTTCCAAAGATGCTTTCACTTGATGAACACGACTAGTCATGACAACATGAGATGCAAATCTCGTTTCGGCAACTTTCAATAAAGACAACGCTGGATGCTTTTTGAAAAAGAGCATGAGCCATATCATGATTCAACACAAAATTTTTCAAGCTACTAACTTCATCAATCAAATCTAAAATCCATTTTATAAATTGAGTTGATTTTTCGGAAGGTTGGCACATGCTTTTTAGTGCAAGGTTCAAACAATGAACAACACATGGTGTCCGAAATATATGTGGATAAGTTTGCTCAACCGTAGAACCGGCAAGCTTCATATTACTTGCATTATCGGTGATAACTTGAACAACATTACTTGCACCAACTTCCTCAATTGATTTAATGAACAAATTAGCTATATATTCTCCACCCTTCACAACGCCACTTGAATTGATTGATTTTAAAAATATTGGACCACTACTAGAAGCCGCCATTATGTTTATCAATGGTCGCCTCTTAATATCCGACCATCCATCGGAACAAATAGACAATCCTTTTCTCTTCCATGCATCCTTAATAGGTTGCAATTTTCTATCAATATGAGCTTTTTCTTGAGCTAAAATGATAGTTCTTAACCTATTGTACGTTGGCGGAACATAACCGGGTAAAGAAGTCTTTGCCAAAAACTCTGAATACTTTCTAAAATAAGGAGACTTGGCAAAATTAAAAGATAAATCTGAAGCGTAGAACATGCGGGCTACCATTTTGTCGGCGATGTTTCTATTCTCAATGCCGAACGACTTCTCTAGAGCTCCAACGTTTGAACCTTTTCTTTTTTTAAAATGCGATAAATCCGACCCTTCAGGAAGCGATACGTAATCTGATTTTTTCCTCGCATCAAGTTGTACAGATGCTTTTTTATTTTCAGCTTCTTCATGTTCTTGCTTCAAAGCTTCACAAACTTCTTTGCTTATCTCTTTACATATTTGAACACCTTGACCAGAGATTTTTAACAAATGAACTTTGACTTTAGAATATGATCCCGTAACTCTTTTGTTACAATAGTTACATGACCATATTCTATTTCCACCACCATTTGGAGTAAGTGAAAGAACTTTGACATGGTTCCAAAGAGGTTTATCATCAAAGTCGGAGCCTACACTTTTTATTGGCCTTAACAAACCTTTCCCCTTTTGATTTGCTGTTAAGGAGGTAGAAGAAGACATTTTTAAGAGCTAAATAAAATGGTAAAGAAGAAGATGAAGATGCAGCAAAATGGAATGGACTTTGGAGGCAGTAGGCGTTTGGAATGGTAAACAAGATGAAGGCAACAGGCGTTTGGACTTTTGAGGGACTTTGTTTGGTGAGAAAATACTTTTGAAAGGAATTAGTAGCCTTATAGGTCACTTTTGTACTTTTGGGGGGAAAACCAACGGTGGGGGAACAACTAAATAAACATTTATTAAATAGACTAATGCTAATGTGATTTATAGACTAACGCATACACTAACACATATAGACTAACGTATATACTAACATTAAATAGACATTTATTAATGTGATAAATGTGATTTATTTAAGAATAATATCATCGTAGTGCTGTATGCCTTATTAATAGATAACTAGATAAATCTATATTTTAGCCCTAATCAAATATATAATTTATGTGATTAAACTTTGTGCAATTCGTTATATCAAAACTTATACTATTAAATGAGATTTTTACCCACTTGATTTTATAGGAAGAACAAACAATCTAACAAGAAGAGTTTTCTACTCTATTCGATTAATGTAATTTGTCGGAAAGCTATATAACCTTAACCATTAATAATTAATTATATTTCAAGTATTTCGATAGCTCGATATTAATTGGCGGTCCTAATCAAATATACTATAAGAATACAAATAATTCATATTCACTTTAACTAATATAAATGAAGTGTTCTTAAATGCTCTAATTCTTGATTTGGTTTCTAAAATTTGCGATTATTCTTCTTTGACATTTTTCTAAATTATTTTAGTTCATTCTCAAATCATGTGATTTATAATTACCCTTACAATATGTGTCACAACATAGCATATAATGGAGAACAAAGGGTTCAATTTTATTATGTACAATTTATAAATTTTTCTAGGCTTCGCGCGATCATATTCTGTCAAAAAAATAATATGCTAATTAATAGAGAAAAAATATTTATAAATAGTATTATTAGGTTAATTAATAGAATTTGTTTATTTAGAGTAAATACTTGTTTGTAATATATATGAAGTTTACTCACATAAAAAAATGTGTGCCTTTAAAGCATAAAAAAAGAAAATTTAGTTTACAATTAAATAATTGTTTATTATTTTGATTAAAACTCTAATTATTTTGGTACAACTAAAACTCTAATTTTTATAAACTTAAAACTTTTGAATATAATATTTGTAATATTTATCTCATAAACTAACGTGGAAAAATATTATAATATATGTATCAATTAACAAACTAGTTCTCCTAATTAGTTCCTAGGTCTTCTTCTTCAATCGTTCTTCTCTGCGCCGTTCTTCTCTGCGCCTTTCTTCAGTCCTTCTTAATCATCTTCCCCAACAAAACCTTCTCCATGTCTCTGGTTTTTTCCAGTACAACACACCCATTCGAGCCCTTCCCAATATGCCTCAGTCCAGTAGTCCACCCATCAACAGCTTCTCTGCCCTAAAAAAAACACAGAGCTCTTGATTTCAGAAACTTGCAGCATGGAAACTCAAAGATTGACCAAGACAAAAAGCTTCAAAGGAGACAAAAGAACTAGTATAAATTACTACATAGCAGCGAAATTGAAGGTATTTCGTTTCCCATCTCTTCAAATCTTTACTTAGGGAAATCAATTTCCCCAAATTTTTGGTCAACGCACCCGATCTAGTTTGACCGGATCCGACACAAATCCCACACCCTTACCCGTGTCAGTGTCGTGTCGACACCGGTACGGTACCGAAATTGCCATGTCCGAGCAATTTAGGTTTAGCCTACGTTCCCATAGATTTTTCAGTTGACAAACCTGACTAGTTGGATTCTTTTAAAAATTCTTTTTTTTCGGAGACAGTTTTCCGAATTCTAAGTAAAATTTTTCTCCCCCCTCAGCTGTTGTACATGGAACTTGCCCTTCCTAATAAATTGGCAGTTTTGTTATTGATTGAGTTGATAATGACTTTACTTGGCCTTCATGCTTTCAATTCCTCTTTGCAGTATGTAGCAACCATCTCAATATGTTAAGCTGAGAGGGGGAAATATGGAAATTAGTAACGTTGTTATCTTACTTCCTGCCATTAATGTTCATGATAATGAATAATGTCGTTATTTTACTTGCTTTCTGTGATTAATCTTTTTATTTTCAATATTAAATGGTAGAAAACATTTGCATTTAATTAATTTAAGCAATCTAGACTGCAAACCCTGCAAAACGACTGACCTACTACCTGGCTGGATATTATAATTTCAAAACCTATTATGGTGTGGAATGTGGTGATCCCATCAAGGTATGACTAATTCGAGCTTTTGTGGAAGTGGAACATATTTGGGTGTTAGAATGGCTACTGGTGTTAAAATGAATACTTTCTTAACTCTTCCTTGTCTTCCCATCGTTGATATTCTTCTGCTATCACCCATTTTCTCTCCAAAATAAGGTGGAAGTGTTCAAATAATCTTGCTTCCCCTTTAATGTGCTACTTGAGTTAAATGATTTACATTTTGCTTTGAGCTGTTGAAGAGTTGTATCCACAATCTGAAGTTCACCTTCTTTTATTTTTCATCTTAGGCATCGTGATCATTATAGGGACAAGGATTCTAAAAGGAGAAGCCGAAGTAGAAGTAGGGACAGATATGACCGTGATAGGTACCGTGGGAGAGACAAGGATTACCGTCGTCGGAGCAGAAGCCGCAGCCCAGATTACCGCAAAGATCGCGAGAGAGGTAAATATGATGAGGAGAGGCGCAGCCGAAGCCGGTCTCATAGAAGGTAGAAATTTTTCTATTCTTATTTTGCTTCTTCTTCTTCTCTCTCTTCCCCCCATGGAAAACTATTTTCAGAAGTGTTGTCTAACGTGTCATTTTACATCAAGTGTGTCCCCTGCTCGCCGTAGCCTCAGTCCTCGGAGGAGCCCTTCTCCACGTAGAACAACCCCTTCTAGGGATGCTAGTCCAGATGGACGTAATCACAAAGACCGGTCTCCAACTCCAAAGAGTGTCTCACCGCGGGGTAGACGTGGTGGTTCTCGCAGCCCCTTGCCGCATTCTGATGCTGATGTGAGTTGTGGCTGTCATACATTGGTTTATTACGGTATAAATGTGATGAAAAAGCATTATTTGCTTTTGTAGGATTAAGGAGCAAAGGAGAAGGCCACGAATGTAATCTGGTTTAGGTCGCTGTTGCGTATCAAGAGTACATTCCCAAATGAAGGATCCTTTCATCTATTTTCTGCTTGCTAGAACTGATTGGCCCGACTTATTTATAAGGTTTAACTCCTTTTTGTTGTACTTGATCATATCAGAAGTTTGATGTTACCTCTGATTCTGGTATTATGGATTGGTATTGTGATATTAAGATATCTACTGTTGGTTTATAATTACTGCTTTGGTGGAATTTCTTTTTGGCTTTATTTGATTTCTTATTTCTTTTCTTATTCATAGTATACTTGCATGGAATATTGTGATAGTATACCTTGATGATGGAAATTATTGGCCTTCTATAGTTGGGTCCCTGAAAAATCAATGTGGCTGAATTGCAAGATGATACAGCAGCTGTTGATGCTGTTATATTTGCTGTTGGTTGTAATTTTGTTGCTGGTCACAAACTACCATTTCTTCGCTGAATGGCAAGGAGATGCTGCAGCTGTAGATGCTGTTTTAACTTGGCTGATTATAATTTGTTGCTGGTGACATACTACTATTTGTTGGTTGAGTGGCAAGCATATGCAGCAGCTGTTGATGCTGTTTTAGCTTTGCTGTTGTAATTTTGTTGCTGGTGACAAATTATCGGGTTCTATACAAATGTTCAGGATGCTCATGATCGGTAAGGATCAAAACTCCTGAATAACTGAAGTCATACTAGGTTTATGCCTTTTGCCTGCCAGTCGTTTTGTTTTTCTGTCTTTATATTCTGTCCTGGGAAGGTTTTTGCTGTGATCAGCTTAAAGATGAAAGAAATCCACATGTTCAAGTGTAGCTATTGAAGTTGATTCCAGGTCGATATTTTGTTATACCGAGTAGAAATTTCAATGTGACCAAATCAATGAGTTCAGATGTAGTGATTGTTTGATCTTAAACGTTGCACTGATTTGATTTCTCATTTTTACCCTTATCAAAATAAATAAATAATGAATCGCGCAATCTGTTAATACTAGGTTCTAGTATCTTTATTTGCTTTATGGTGTTAAATGTTCTTCAGGTACATAGCATAGCACCTATAGTTAAGCTAATGATAGTTGCACTATGTTACAGCGCATGAGTTCATGCCCGTGAAGTTCTAGCTGATCTCTGTAGATCTTTTGTTGCTGTTAGCTGATAGCCTATCGAACTGATGCTGCTTTTTGGTGTTGATGGTCTGCTTGATGTGTTCAGTTGGACCCTCTGCATGTTGTTCATGCTCCTTCTGCAGGAGCTTAAGTTGTGTGTTTATGTTGTGCTGAGTCACCTCAGATATACACCATCTGCGTCTCTTATTGGTTATTTTTTAGTGGAACATGTGCACATTGCCGATTTGGAGATCTGATGGTTTCCTGTGAGAATGTTAATCTTATCAAAACTTAACCTTCTTTTACTCCGTCTGCTAGTGGCTTGATGCATGTATCTCATTATCTTCATATTGGCAAGTGTGTATAGAAATCACAGTAGAATGTACCAATGGCATTTAGAGGTGGAATTAGGGCTTTTGATCTCCTTTTAAGTGAGGTTATGGGATAGCGGCTAGGGTATTTCATTACAATAGTCGAGTGTGATACCCTTTGTCAATTAGGGTTCTAATATGGTGGTGTTTTAGAACTCTGGTTGATTGATGTAGTGGGGTAAATTACTGTGTTAGGGTACTCTCTCCCTAGGAATTTGTGCTCTTCCATAGGGCTTCGGAATGGTATGTGCTTACCATATTGGACAAGTACTCTTTGCTAGATGGCTATGGATTTGACTAGCTTGATGAGCAAGTTTGGGAAGGTAACATGATACTGCTTTGGGAGCATTTGATTTTTCCTGTTACGGGGAATACTTTGCAGGATTGGCTCTTTCTGTTTGGCTAATAAGGCAGTAATATGTTCAAAAGCAAAGTTGTTGATGGCCATGTCATATATATTTGCCTTCCTGTTGCCGTTGATAAAAGTTTTACGTTGCTCTACGAAGAATAATCCTTCAATTTCATTCTGTATTGACGAACCAATGGAGATTCTTGCCAAGGCTTCTGTCAGCTTTCCACGCCATGGAGAGTTGACATTTATTATTCTTTTCTTCAGTCCTTTTAAAACAAATTGTGATCGGATGATAATAGACATTTACAAGCAATTGAACAATTCTCCTTACAGAATTGTTACTAAATATTTAGTTCACATTTGGTGTTTACAGAAAACCAGTAATGCATATATCTGCACATCTATTTATCGCTTATCTGTCTCTGGTTAATTGATATTTATCTAATGATTATAGCACCTGGTTGGGTGTAAGCACCTGCAAGTAGTTAGATAATTTATCAAGATCTGCCGACAGTTTGTAGTACTCAAAAACCGCAATTTGTTCTGCACAGTGCACGCCGTTTTTTCCCTTCAAAACTAATGCACAGAAATGTGCCCCTCCAATTCCAGCGCCACTCTCGTATTCCAAAGACATGTTTTCTAGTTTGACAGGCATGTCATTTGGCCGATTTTCAGTAAATCTTAAGATGCCTGGAAATGGCCCGGACCTCAAAATTAGAATGGTTAGTGGTAGATACTACTCCCAAAGGGACTAAATAATAATCAATGTATAGTTCTTCCATGATTTTACGTATAAAAAGTATAATCCACATAGTTTGTCGAATTTAACCATACAATATGAAGCAGCTTTACTTGTTAGAAATTTACGAATCTTTTAAACTAAAGAAACAATTGAGATACACATTTCCAAATCCATTTCCCTCGTTCATATCTATTTATACTATATTAAAAGCACAAAAACCTTTAGCGAAATGTTGTTCGCCTTTTATATACTTTAAAAATAGATTTTACATTGGACAAAATTATAATTTTAATTATTTCCCTAATATTTAGGACTTCTAAATCAAATAAAATTTTAGTTATTAAACTTTTCCTTATTTGGACTAGGTAAGAAGTCCTAATATCTAGGTTTTAAAATGAGTAGTATTATCTTTCCATGTTTAGTATTTGTGGAAGTTGTAAAAATATGTAGGACGATAAAATATAATACCAACCAATTTGTATGGTGTATAAAAGGTGCAAATTTTAAACGTAGAATAATGGCAAAAACTTTAAAAAGTTATCCTTTTTTCCAAATCAATTAAAGTTTGTTTGTCTAATCATTACTTTGAAATATGTAAGAAATTTTAAATAGGAAGTAAAAATCAATTATTATTTTAAATATATAATATAAGTTATTTATTTACTTAGAAAAAAATATAACAAACTGTAATGTGCTAATTTTATAAAAATAATGGTTAATATACTTAAGAAAGTTATCCCCTTTTCAAAATTACTTAAAGTTTTATCTATTTTCTTATTTGAACTATGTAAAAGATCTTAATATAGGATTTTAAAATTATTTAATATATTAATTATCTAATATAATTTATTTATTTATTTAAAAATGTAATATAATTATAATTCTTTACATATTAACTTTGAACTATATATATGAACCATAATACATCTGCATATCAAATTTGGGCTACTTTTCACCCAAATAATATTTTTTTTACATGATTTTTGAAAACTACATTTACCAATTAGAACAAGCAACTATATATTTAAAAATATAAAAGATATAAAGAGATAGGGAGAAAGAGAGATCATAAAGGTAATTGGCAAGAGTCAATAACACTAGTTATTCTGCAAACACAAAGATTCAATAGTGAAATATGATCATATTAGTTTTTTTAAACCTTTTGAACATGTAATTCATAGTGGATAAAATTATAACTATAGTTAGATATTTATATCATGAGATGACCTTTAAGAATTTGAATCAATAAAAAATGTATTATTTTTGTTAATATTGATAATAAGTAATTAAGTCTCTAAATTATACAACTAATTAGCAAAAGAATCCAATTCAATTATTTTCTAAATTCATGAAAAATAAATTTTCAATTTGACAAACTCTTAATTAGGGTACATAAAGTTATTTTTATAGAAAGAACATTAGTACTAAAACTAATCAACCAATAAAGCAAATCCAGTTATAATATAGTATTAAGAGTCTAATTGGTAAAATGTAAACTTGAAGCAATAAATATGAAATAACAAATGACAAGATGTATTCTATTTGAGTTGTCATAAATTATTTTTTTCTTTTTTCGCATTTGTTCCAGCAAATAATAGGTCTCTATATTTAGTTTCTAATTATTTATTATAAAATATTAACTAAACATTACTCATTTTTAGACTTTAGATTATCACGTATCAAATTTTAAGAGCTATAAGCTAAACTTCTCATTCCCGAATCTCTAAAAGATCAAAAAATTAAATTTTTTAATTTATTTTATTTGTCAAATCTTCGAAGAATAACAATAATAATATTTTGTGTTATTTATTTTCAGCATTAAGTCAATAAAATATCAACAATTTTCATAAAATATTCCCAGAAAAGTCCTCAAAATCACAATAAGGATTTGCGGACGATAGCATGACATGATTATTTCCTTTATTGAGCTAGCTAAATAGAGTCGACATTCATCATTTTTAGGAACTTATAAATTTTTTTTAAAATTTTTAATTTATAACTCTAACAAATTATATGATAATATCTAAGTGATTTTTAAACTTATTTACTTATTAATATGGGTACACGCGCAAAACGCATATTCTAAGACTAATACTATATTAAAAGCATGAAACCCCTTAATAAAATATTATCATCTTTTTTTACCCTTCAAAAAAATATTTCACACTAGACAAAATTATAATTTAATTTTACTTTCCTAATATTTAGGAATTTAATTCAAGTAAAATTTTAATTATTAATTTTTTTCTTGTTTGAAAAAGTAATTAACACCAAAAAAAAAAGAAAAATCTCAAGTTGACACCTAAATTGGAGAAATCAAAGTAGGAAACTAAATATTGTGCACCTAGAACTCTAATAGGTTTAGGAGTCTTCATTATGAGTATAAGCGAATTGGATTTTCAATATTTTTCTTTTATGAAAAAAATATCCTTTGAATTTTAGCGGGTAACTTCCCTTCCTTCTCCAAGGAAGTTAAACAAAGGAGGAACAAAAGGCCTTTCACAATATTAATTATAATAACAATCATCCAGAATTAAAAATTGCACTTTCTATAAGCTTTGATTTTTATTTATAAGGTAAATAAGTAATTTTAATTTATACATTATATTTAAAGATTATTACATTTAAATTTTATAATAATCGCTAGGCTATACGTGGCACGTACTCTATAACTAGTCTCAAAAAAAAGCTCTATTCATTATAATTGAACCCATTCATATGTTTCCTTTTATCGTCCATTAAATGAAATAGTGAATCAATTAATGTTTTTGCCTTTGAATTAAGTAACACTTCTGTTTTTGAGATCTTGAAGTTATATTTTCCTTAAGGTGTGAATTAAGAGAAATGAATCTTGAGAAAATCGTCCCAATGGTTTCTTCAACTTAAACGGTTTACATACTTTTTATAGATAAACTTCGTGAAAAATAACTATCTCCATGTGTTGTAAATATAGCAGAGACTAAAATTGTTCTATTTTGGTAAAGTTAAGGGACCGAAACTGCTTGTGGGTATAGTATTAAGACTAATGTATATCAATCCTAAAACATAAGGGACTATTCGTGTCCTTTTCTCCAAATATGAGGCATAAACTGAATTTAAGCAAACAAGTCAAGGCCAATTTGGTACAAACAGACTACATTATCTTCTCCAACCCGATACCAAGCCCTAACACCATTCTACCTTATTATCAGTCATTCACTCCGGCTAACGGCGATGTCTCACTTCGGAAGAACAGGCCCTCCGGACATCAAAGATACCTTCTCTCTGCTCGTTCTCAACGTTACTTTCCGTAATTACCCCCTTCTTCCCTTTATTTACCAATTAGCAATTTTTTTTTTTCTTGTGTTGCAAAGTTGTTGAATCTAATATTACTCAATCATTGTTTGCTTGTACAGGTACCACTGCTGATGACTTGTTTCCTCTTTTCGATAAGTATGGAAAAGTTGTCGATGTCTTTATCCCTAGAGACCGAAGGTCCTTACTTTTTCTATTTTACCTTTGCTTGTATATGTATTTTCTTTGGGTCATTGAGCAAACCGGTATCTTTGTTATGTGTTTGTTGTCTTTATTTATTTATTTATTTATTTATTTCTTTATTACCGTGGTATTCTTTTCTCCATCCTACTTCTTGGTTATATGGTATGTCTCAATTAAATGTTAGACATCATTAAACTAATTATATCATCCTATACTTTACTTACAACTTTGATGAGCTCAAATTCATTTACATTGGAACTTTCGAAAATTCAAATTCATCTGATAATTGATATATTCTCTGTCAAACTAACTTTTCAAACATTATCCTGAAATTTTAATTTAACTACCATTAATATAATACATAAGTCAAATTAATATTTTAAACTGTTATTTCTTCCTATCCGCCTACGCCTTGGTGAACAGCTTTACCGGGTACCTGTACTGTTAGGTGGGAGGATGCAGGTATCGTTTTGGATAGTCGGAGGTGCGCGCAACTTGGCTCGAACACTATCGTCATAGAAAAAATATTATAAGTTCAGCGTGTAGTTGGTACCATCATATAAATATTGAAGTGAAATAGCGAGGAAATGATTTCTCCTCTTCAAGGTGTTACTTCTGATAGTTTTACATTACTTATGAGCTGAGACCTACAGATGATGTCTTGGTGTTATCTTGGTATGGAGATAGACAAAGATGTAGTGGTGTCTCTATTATTTGACATGTACAATGTTTATTTGGTGCTTTAGGACTGGAGATTCTAGAGGTTTTGCATTTGTGCGCTACAAGTATCAGGATGAGGCTCAAAAGGCAGTGGAAAAGCTCGATGGTAAGTGAAGTGATCACTAATATGTAAATTAAGTTATTTAGTCCTTCAAACTTTTTGTAGATATTACGTTTTGGGTGTAGTCTTATGTTGCTCTTGATCACACCAATATTTGGGCACAGGAAGAGTTGTAGATGGTCGAGAAATAATGGTTCGATTTGCAAAGTACGGCCCAAATGCCGAGAGAATGTAAGTTTTATTTGATGCAAATATTCAGTAAGTTGCAGAGCTTCCTTGTTTAAAGTTGTGGTTTTTATTCTTCTATATTTAGGTGCATCTTACCCTATAAATTGAGTTGTAATAACCTTTTGTTTTGTGGCAATAAAACTATGTCTAATAGAGACTAGGATTCTTTTTCTTATCAGTGACAAAGGTAGAATTTTGGAGCCTGTAAATAGGACAGGAGGAAGGTCAAGAAGCCGTAGTCCTAGATCAAGGTAAGAGCTTAATTATTTAATTGTGTCCACTTAAAGTCCTATCGTGGACATTTGGATTTCAATTGGAATATAATTGTTTGTGTTAATGCGATCCTGATCATTGAGCTCTATTGATTACTCATAATCAAACTTTGGGGATATTTCCTATAAGAATTTCATGGGAATTTGTGATCATGTGTTCTTTCTACGTCAAGAGCAATGTTTTTACTAGCGAAAAGTGAAAAGAAGCAGCAAGGTCCATGTGACTTGAAGTGAAAAGCGAGAAGTGAGGCGCACAACTTCTTTGAAATGAAGCACGCAATTTATTTATTTATGTTTCTTTGAAGCGCGCAATCTATGGAAAAGAAAAAATGTCATACATGAATTTAGTATCATAACAATTAATTACAATTAGAATAACTAATTTTAGCACCAATACATAATATTTCCAAAATATATCCAACTCCTCCAAATTGAGATTCAAAAAATCGTTGTTTTCTTTTATATTAATTTGCGCTTCATTATTTGAAGTGCACACCTCTTAAAGCACGCGGCTTCCTTGAAGCGATAACCCTCCATCATGATGAAGTGATGGCTTTTAATAACAATGATTAAGAGAAGCGATCTTAAAGGTTCTCAAAGAATACTAAACAGGTTAACACTGTCTTTAGTTGGAGGTGAAAAGAGAGCTGGTGGTGGTAGGGGAAACAATAGAGTAGAGTTTTGTCCTTATCTGGTAAGTATAAGACTACTAGAAGTTAAAACTGTAAAGGGTTTGATAGCCCTCCCTAGTTCTCTCTCTTTTTTTAAAATTATTTATCCCAACACTTTCAAAAATGCACTGAAATTAAGAGTTTATCTATTTATTTCACACTAGTCTTAGGGTACGCGCTTTGCACGTGTTCCCATGTTAATAAGTATAAACTTTTTAAAAATTATATAAATATTATTGTTAAATAATGTATTTTAAGTTTATAAAACAAAAATTAAGAGAAGAAGTTTAAGCGCCTAAAACTTATGAATATCGATATTATACAAGCTAGCTCAATAAAGAATGAAATCATGTATGAAAACATCCTTGGATGCCTTATTGTAATTTTAACTGTATTTGGGAGCCTGGAAAAAGTAGAACGATATGTTAACTTGTATTCACATTGTTAACTTGGATATTTTAAAGCACTTCTATAAGAAAACAACTTAACAATGCAAACTTCTATATTGTTATAAACCTGTATTTTATGTGAATGTAAAGAGTATATTTTTTAAAATATCTTATGAAAATCACTGTTGTTTCGTTGATCTGTATTAAATTCAAAATGACCACACTTTGTTTAAGCATGAAATTTGAAAAATTAAATTTTGTTAAATATTTTTTCCTTTATACTTTTGTCAACTCTTCAAAGATTCTTGCCAAATAAAATGAATTAAAAATTTGATACTTTTGGTCTTTTAGAAATTTTGAGAATGAAGAGGTTAACCCTATAACTCATAGAAAAATAAGTATAATGTATAATTGACAATGATAAAGTCTAAAATGACTAATGTTAAACTAATATTATACGATAACTAACTTGATATGTAATGCACTACAAGCCGTCAATAACTAAGGAACTAAAACACAAAAGAAATAAATTAATGAGCCACATTTGATAAGAACTTTTAATTTACATTAATAAATTCACAAACAACAAAGAGATTGCAGAAAAGAATACAAAAGGACAAAATCATAAGAAACGAACATTCCAAATATAATGGTACACGTATATTTGTTGGTGCAAAAACTTGGACAGAAATAATTTTCAAGTACTAAGATATACCTTTTTATTAATTAATTGTTATTGTTTAAGTGTTTTCATGTCGAAATAATAGATCATAAAAAAAGGACTTTAGGTAAGTAAAATTTTACTCGATTTTAAATTTTTGCATATTAGTAGTTTTACTTGGTTCAAATAAGGAAAGATTTAATAACTAAAATTTTAGTTGATTCAAAGTTCTAAATGTTAGAAAATTAATTAGACAATTATTACTAAATATTAGGAACATAATCAAATGACTAATATAATATAGATATAGATTATTCTGTAAGCACTAATCAACTAGGAGTAGAATATCAAAATACTCCAACCTTATGGAAGTGAACATACTAGTTCCTCTCACTCCTCTTCGTGGAATTAAACATAGTTTAAGGCATTCAGAGATTTAGATTTTTTTGCCAATTTCTCTTAACATTATACTATCGACAAACATTTCCGTTGCTCAGATTTACAAATTTTGATTTTTAACTGATTGATGTCAAAAGAATTATCAGAATTTTTCTTTTGGTAACCAGAGTGTGGAGGTTTAAAACGATCCTTTAAAATCAGGCTGCAGGATTTACTAGTAGAAAATTCTACTGCCTGCTTGAGAGATGCTATTTTGGGTCTCATGATTCTTTGCAATCAAAACATGTGAAAACTGCTATGCAATTGATTTTCGTGAAATTCCCTGTCCTTTTCCGCCCTTAATAAAATGTGGATGATCTGGAGTAGGGAATGGAAGGGAGATGGTGATGCTTCCGTAGCTTTTCAGTTGACAAACCTAACTAGTTGAATGATCTTTTTCTTGAAAAAAATTTGGTGACTGTTTTCTGAATTTTAGGTAAAATTATCCTCCTTCATCAGCTGTTGTACATGGAATTTTCCCTTAATAAATCGGCAGCTTTGTTAAGCTTTCCTTTTTTGGGGAAGATTTTTTCCTCTTGTTGAGTTGAATGATTGAATTGATAATGACTTTATTTTGGCCTTCATGCTTTCAATTCGTCTTTGTAGTATGTACCAGCCATCTCGGTAAGAGAGGGAAGTATGGAAATCAGTAAAGTTGTTATCTTTCTTCCTGTCATTAATATTTATGATAATAAATAATGTTGTGGTATATACTTGCTTCCTGCCGTTAATGTTTTTTTTCCAGATATTAAACGGAAGAAAGCGATCTACACTGCAAACACTACAAAATATCTGAGTAGGATCGCGAAATCATGTTTCATTTTGATTAGATGGTGATTCCTTTATATGTTCAGCATCATCACCTACTACCTGGCTGGATACTAATATCGGTTATCTGCTTGGGATTGTGTTCAGAACAACCTATAACTTCAAAACCTATTATGGGTGTGGAATGTGGTGATCCCATCAAGGCATAGTTAAAATTTGAGCTTTTGTGGATAAACATAATTGGGTTTTAGAATGGATACTGGTGTTAAAATGAATACTCTCTTACCTCTTTCTTGTTCTCCATTTGTTGATATTCTTCTGCTATCACCTATGACCTCTCCAAAACAAGGTGGAAGTGTTCACATAATCTTGCTTCCCACTTTTGTGTGGTACTTGAGTTAAATGATTGACATTTTTCTGAGCTAAAAGAGGTTGTAGGGGGCGGTATTTCACAATCTGAACTTCACCTTCTTTTATTTGTTTATTTATCTTAGGCATCGAGATCATTATAGGGACAAGGATTCTAAAAGGAGAAGCCGAAGTAGAAGTGGGGGGAGGTATGACCGTGATCGGTACCGTGGAAGAGACAAAGATTACCGTCAGCGGAGCAGAAGCCGCAGCCCGGATTATCACAAAGCTCGTGGAAGGGGTAAATATGATGAAGAGAGGCGCAGCCTAAGTCGGTCTCATGGAAGGTAGATTTTTTATAATTAAATATTTTGTTTCTTATCTCTCTCTTCCCCAGGGAAAGCAATCTCATAAGCTTTGTCTGACGTGTTATTTTACATTTAAGTGCCTCTCCTGTTCGTCGTAGCCCCAGTCCTCGGAGGAGCCCTTCTCCACGCAGAACAACCCCTTCTAGGGATGCTAGTCCAGATGGTCGTAATCGCAAGGAGCGGTCTCCAACTCCCAAGAGTGTCTCACCGCGTGGTAGACGTGCTGGTTCTCGCAGCCCCTTGCCATGTTCTGATGCTGATGTAAGTTGTGGCTGTCGTACATTGTTTTATTATAGTATAAATGTGATGAGAAAACATCATTTGCTTTTGTAGGATTAAGTAGCAAAGGAGGAGGCCACAATTGTCATCTGGCTTTGGTCAATGCTGCGTATCAAGAGGACATTCCCAAATGAAGGACCTTTCATCTATTTTCTGCTTGCTAGAACTGATTGGCCTGACTTATTTATAAGGTTTAACTCTTTTTGTTGTACTTGATCCATACCAGAACTTTGATGTTACCTCTGCATACTGGTATTATGGATTGGTGTTCTGATATTGAGATATCTATTGTTGGTTTATAATTACTGCTTTTGTGGATTTTCTGTTTGGCTTTATTTGATTTCTTATTGCTTTTCTTATTCAAAGTGTACTGCATATATTGTAGTAGTATACCTTGTGGTAATTTACTTATGATGAAAATTATTGGCCTTCTATAGCTGGGTCCGTGAAAAGTCAATGTGGCTGAATAGCAAGATGATGCAGTAGCTGTTGATGCTGTTTTATTTGCTGTTGGTTGTAATTTTGTTGCTGGTCACAAACTACTGTTTCTTAGCTCAATGGCAAGAAGATGCAGCAGCTGTCGATGCTGTTTTAACTTGGCTGTTTATAATTTGTTGCTGGTGATATACTACTGTTTGTTGGTTAAATGGTAAGCAAAGGCAGTAGCTGTTGATGCTGTTTTAGCTTTGCTGTTGTAGTTTTGTTGCTGGTGACAAATTATCGTTTTCTATACAAATGTTCAGGATGCTCATGATCAGTAAGGATAAGAAACTCCTGAATTTCTGAAGTCACGCTAGGTTTATGCCCTTGGCCTGACAGTCATTTCCTTTTTCTGCCTTAACTTCATATTTTGCCCTGAGAAGGTGTTAGCTATGATCATCTTAAAGATGAAAAAACCACATTTGTATATTGAAGTTGAATGCAGGTCAAGATTTTGTTATGTTGAGTAGAGATATCAATATTGGACTGAATCAATGAGTTCAGGCGTAGTGATTGTTTGACCGTAAACATCGAGCTGCTACGATTTTTTCATCTTATGCTTATCAAAGTAAATAAAATAAATAATGAATTTCCCAATCTGTTAATACTTGGTTCTAGTATCTTTTATGTGCTCTATGGTGTTAAAAATGTTCTTCAAGTACATAGCGTAGCACCTATAATTAAGCTAATGATAGTTGCACTATGTTACAGCGCATGAGTTCATGCTTATATGCATGACATTCTAGCTGATCCCTGTAGATCTTTTGTTGCTGTTAGCTGATAGCCTATCAAATTGATGCTGCTTTTTGGTGTTGATGGTCTGCTTAATGTGTTCATTTGGATCCTCTGGATGCTGTTCATGCACCTTCTGCAGGAGCTAAGTTGTGTGTTTATGTTGCGCTGGGTGACCTAGTCTCCTAGTGGTTACTTTTTTAATGGAACATGTGCACGTTGCCAACAGTGAGAATGCTAATTTATCAAACCTAACCTTTGACTCCACCTGCACTTTGCTGGATACACTGAACTCACCTTTCTTGTTATCTTCATATTGGCACTTGTGTTAGAAATCACTGTAGAACTTTCCAGTGGCATATAGAGGTGCCTTTTTTGGCGAGGTTATGTGATAGCGGCTAGGGTATTTTTCATTACTGTAGTCGGGTGTGATACCATCTCTATTAGGGTTCCAATATGATGGTGTACTAGATCTCTAGTTGATTCGGTTTGTGGGATATTACTGTGTTATGGTGCTGTCTCACCGGGAATTTGTGCCCTTTCATAGGGTTTCTGAACCGCATGTGCTTAATTAATTGCTTACCATATTGGACGAATACATTTTTACTAGATGGCTATGGATTTGACTAAGCTTGATGAGGATGTTGGAAAAGGTATCAAGATGTTGCTTAGGGAGCTTTCGGATTTTCCTGTTGCCCGATACTTAGCAGGGTCGGCTCTTTATGTTTGGTTAATGAGGCTGTGATGAGAGTTCAAAAGCAAAGTGGGTGATGGGCCTGTTATTTTTCTTTTACCTTACCTGTTGCAATTGGCAAACTTCCATGTTGCAGCAGAAAGAATAATCCTTCAATTTCATTCCATATTGACGAACCAATGGACATTCCTGCCAAGACCACTGTCAGCTTTGTGGACGATGGAGAGTGGACATTTTGTTATTCTTTCTTCAATCTTTTTAAAATAAAATTGTGATCCAACGGCATTTACTAGAACTCGCCAATGGAACAATTGTCCATATAAAATGTACAAATGATGTTTGTTATAAACCAATAGATATATGATATATGTTTGCACATATTTTATCACGTAACCATGGGTAATTTATATATATTCTTTTCTTATTAAATCACCTGGTAATTTATAGTAGATATGCGTTCGTGCAAACATTGGTAAGTATTTACCAAATCTGTTTGACTAGCCGACAGTTTGTAATACTGAAGATTAACCACATATTGCGCTGCATACTAGTTCACCTCCTAACTGCTCAAGCACAGAAAAGTATCAGTCTTCCCTTCAATAATTGTGTAATGTATTTACATAATAAGTACTGATTTTTACACTAATGTTTAAGAAGCAAAAGAGAAAAGGTACAATGAACTTCAACCCTCGCTCTCTTAGTGTTCCGTTAGCTGGAAAAACAAGAAAAAAGCTGGAGAGGAAAAATAATGAGCAGCATTTGAATTCATAACCTCGAAAAGGCGTTGCACATATTTTTCGGAGGCCGAAGAGGCTGTGCATAAAAACAAAACTACTTATTAGGAAAAAAAATATATGCGCAGAAGCCACGAACCCCAAATATAAAGGCAGACAGTATATTAGCACATGACTATATGTTAACTAGTAGCAGAGATTAGAAAGTAATGGTGTCTCAGATCGAGTTGGTCTAGAACTGAGGTTGGGGCCTTTTGTCCAACTACATGGTTCAGTTGTATTTGTACATATTTCATTGGTATTTACTTTCATGGATAATGAGACATTAACTCATCGACTCCAAAGTCTTTCTACTTCACAAGTTGAGAATTAAATGCCAATGACTTGTAATGATATTCACCATAATATAAACTCTACCCAACACACGAGTTCATTACAAACCAAATCAAACAACCTAATTTCATTCTTTAGCCATGATGATGGTTCCTATAATATTTTCTTTCCTTCAGTATATCTTTTCACAGTTACTTTTGCTTCCACTGAAGAAGCAAATGCTCTCCTAAAGTGGAAAGCAACTTTCCAAAACCAGAATAATTCCTTATTGGCTTCATGGACACTAAGTGCCAAGAATTCTTCTAGCATTAGAGTGGCAAGTTCTGATGCATGCAAGGGCTGGTATACATGGAGTTATATGCGCTAATGGAAGGGTAAACAGGTTGAATATTACGAATGCTAGTGTCATTCGCACACTCAATGATTTTCCATTTTCATCTCTCCCTTTTCTTGAATATGCTAATCTTAGCATGAACCAACTCTCTGACACCATCCGACCTGAAATAGGAAAGCTCACTAATCTTGTCTATCTTGACTTGTCCTTCAATCAGATTGCAGGAATAATCCCATCGCAAATCGGCTTTGAATCTTAATCATTAAGCGTTTGTTTTTTTGTAATTCTCAATCACTTAATGAGTCTGGAAATATTTGTATGATTAAGATATATAACAAAGACTTAATTTCATTAAGATACTATCATTTACATTCATTATTAATTATCGCCACCGTCTACCATTATCAACTATCACCATGCCATCCACTACCACCACCATACTCAATCATAACTGCCACCATTATCGACAACCATTATCCACCATCCCCACTACCCCACCACCATCATTCTCAACCACAACCACAAACTCATCCACCTTAACTACCACAACTAGCCATCCCATCACCATCAACAACCATAGCCGGCACTGCCTACCATTATAAACTACCACCACCTTCCTCAATCACAACCACCACCACCACCACCACCACTACCCACCATTATTAACTATTACCACCCACCACCACCATCCTCAACCATAATCGCTATCGCTATTACTCACCACTAGCTACTACCCAGAACCATCACCATCAACCAAAATCACCACCAACCACCGTCTCTAGCATTTTATTTGATAGAATATTAGATTAATTAATATTTTATTTGAATTTATGTTTATTAATTTTTAAATAAAGATAAATTCTATATATTCAGATGTTTAAAAAATAAACAGTCTTAATAATTTAGTATTCAGATCTTAAAACACATCTTAATATTCAGGTGTGTATTTAGATTCAGATGTCTTAATCTTAATACACATCTTCATATTCAGATATGTATTCAGATTCAGACATCTTAATCTTAAAAAAATAAATGAGGCATAAATCTGCAAATACTAATTGCCATTACAACTTGCGATTTATAAGTCGCAAATACTAATTACGTTACATGCGATTTATAAGTCGCAAAGAGTAATTACTAACGATTACTGTGATGTCGCAAATACTAATTGCGAATGCGATTTATAAGTCGAATACAGAAAATGTGATTTATAAGTCCAATATATTAATATAATAGATCAAGACGTAAATTATAATTGCAGTTATAAGTCGCTGAAGGAAATGCGATTTATAACATAGTAGTATAATGTTATTTATAAACGATCTATAAGTCGCTGGTATCTATGGGATTTATAAGTAGATGATAGCAACTGCGATTTATAAGAGATTACATGAACATGTTGTTGGTATTATTTATAGATGGTAATGCAAAGTCAAAGATTTCTTTGTAGTCCCTTTTCCTTCTTTACTTCTTTGTCTTTTGTGAAAGATAAAGTGCCCCTCATTGGTTGTGGAAAGTCTTTTTCTTCTCTTTATAATGAATTACTCTTTATTGGGCTTGTAAAGAGCTAGTAAAAGGGAATAGTCTCGGGCACATGAGAAATTGGTCCTGAAGGCAAAACGGGTCGATTTGCCCCCTAGTTTTGCTAAAATTATTTCTTCATTTTTTGAGCATACTAGAAAAGTATCCAAATACAGAATATGTCCAAATTCATTCTCATTGAATTGGATTTTGTAACATCCAATTTGTTAAGTACTTTGTAGCAACCATGATTTAATTTTTGCAATAACTTTGTTTAATTCTTATAGCAGCTGTAGTTAATTTTTGTAACGACTCCATTTAATTTCTGTAACAGCTTTAGATTAATTCCTTCACGTGTAACTGTCCAACAACTTTGCCTACAAAAGTTTGTCTTCTTTGTGAATAATCTGACACTGAAAACACCTTCATCTCTTTTCTTCTTCAACTATTTTCTGAGCAATTGTTTTGTACAAATTCCAAACTTCCACCCACGAGTGCACGTGTTTGGAGGTGCTGTGGAACTTTGGGGAACGACCGGTCTTAACGATTTGCACCCAGTCGGGCCGAAATTGCTTTCAAGACAGTGGCTTGCCACGACACAGTATTTTTGATAAGTTGTTTTTTGTTTCCTTCTTGTTCTTGGTCAATATTATATACTCATTTTTCTTATATATGTTTCTCTTAAACCTAAGCAACAACAAGTTTGACCAGAAAATTTCAGCGGAGATAGGGATGATAACTCATCTAAGAGCACTTGATTTGAGCCATAACCTTCTTAATGGATATCTCCTCAGTTAGCCCATTTGCAGAACTTGGCAAACATCAATCTATCCCACAATGACATCTCTTGCTGTATTCCTGAATCTCGGCCTAAGAAGTATCGGGGAGAGGTGATTAGACAGGATATGGCGAGGCTCCAGATTTCCGAGGACATGACACTTGATAGGAAGATGTGGAGGTCGAGTAGTAGAGTTGTAGGTTAGGATGTAGTTAAGTCTTGACTTACTTCTTACCATTGTGGGACTGGCCACATAGGGTTTTTGTCTAGGGTAGCTAGTGACAATGTTGTGTTTTACTACTTCGCTTGTCAGTGCATGTTCTATTTACTAGATATCGTTTTTTCTTTGCATCTTTCTTCTGCATTTCATGGTGTTCCTATTTTTTCTATGATTGTTGTGGTGATACTAATGTTGTCTCCTCTTGTCGTTTTGTCTTTTTATTTTCTTGAGCCGAGGATCTTTCGGAAACAACCTCTCTACTCCTTTGGGGTAGGGATAAGGTCTGCGTACACACTACCCTCCCCAAACCCCATTAGTGAGATTCTACTGGGTTGTTGTTGTTGTAATGCATTGGAAGGTCCAATACCAATTAATAAAGCTTTTACAAATGCTTCATTAGAATGTAACAAATGTCTTTGCGGCAATATAGCAGGATTCCAGCCTTGCGAAAGGCCATGAAGGGACGTAAACGTAAACTCATCCTCATCACCGTACTTCCGATCCTGTTATGGGAGCAGTAGTAATTGTTCTATGTGCTTTCATTGACGTCTTCTTATAAGTGATAAAAGTAGGAGAGTTAGATGTGTTGAAAGACGGGATGATGGTTGGCTTTCGATATCCATGTTAGATGGGAATGCATTTTACAGGGATATCTTAAATGCCACAGAGGTGTTTGATGCAAAATTATGCATTGGGCAAAGAGGGCATGAAAGCGTTTACAAGGTAAACCTTCCATCATTAGAGAATATAGCTGTGAAAAGACTTCATTCTTCATTTGAGAATACACATCTCAAAAACTTTATGAATGAAATAAAGGCATTAATTGGTAGGGATTAAGCATCGGAACATTGTGAAACTCTATGGCTCTTGTTCCAATGCACAACACTCGTTCTTGGTTTACGATTATGCAGAGAGGGGGAGTTTGTCTAGTATTTTGAGCAATGAAGTTGTTGAGATTAGTAGTGCTAGTGGTGGTTAGCTTACTTAGTTATCCATTTGTTAGTTATAACTAACTTACACTATACTAGAGTTAGCTTTAATACTAACAACAGCTAGATACCGTAACAACTCGATCAGTAGTTTTGAGCTATAGTGCGTCATTCGGCGGTTTGAGGCCTTGAGTAGCTTCACTTCATGTTTTATTACTTGTACGTGTAGTCGGAATCGAATTTCGGAAGCTTTAAGTTGGAACGATTGACTAAGGTTTGACTTTTGAGTAAACGATTTCAGAATCGGGATTTGAAGGTTCCAATAGGTTCGTATAATGATTTCGGACTTGCGCGTATGTTTGGGTTGAGTATCGAGTCGCCTAGGAGCATTTCATCACTTATTGTGGAAAACTGGCATTTTGAAGGTTTTAGAATTTTCTAAGTTTAGTTTGGGGTGTACTTTGGTGTTATCGATGTCCGTTTAGGGTTTCGAACCTTAGAATAGGTTTGTATTATGATTTGTGACTTGTGCATAAAGTTTGGC